AATACTTAAGCAATGTATGCTGTCACAAGTCTTATCAATATATTTTTTTTCTTTTTTGTAAGTACAATATTGTAAATATGTTACCCTAGTGATTCTGTTCAAGAAATTTATGAATTCTGACATTATGTAAATTCATATTTCAACTCTGTGTATTGTAGTTTGTAATTTATGATTTGAGAGGCCATGATATAATGGCCCTGTGTATACTAGCTTTTGTAAAATAGACATTTTTAGAAATATGGCAATATTACTATGGGTGAAAATGTGGGCGTTTCATTATCACCTTAATTTTCTCAACTGGAAAAAAATAAAGAGATTGTCTGCTACAAGAGATCAGCAGAAAGAATAAATCTTTTTATTATGCGAGCAAATTTTTTTGTTCATATTAAGCATTTCATCTATAGAACATTCATCTTCAAGAACTAGCTCATCTGTGAATGGTTAAAATTTTTAAAATTTGCCTTAATGAATGCACTATTTGCATTTTGCAACTTTTTGGACAGAAACTTGTTTCTGAATATGAAGCCTTAAACCAAATTATAAAGGAGTGTAATACAAGTGTTACAGATAAGCCATATAGACACAAAATAAAGTAATAAAATTAACTTTATAGAATTAAAACAAAACAAGTTTCATTCATGTTATAATTTCCCCAAATCTCTTGCTTCTTCTTCTTGTGGGGGACTTAGGAGATGGGGACTGAAGCCCAATGTGGGGGATCATCCCTACCTTGGTCCTCAGCCCTCGCTCGACTAATTTTGCATGGTCTTTTCCTCCACCTTCCCTTTTCCTTTTCTTCATCCCCTTGTTTTGTCTACTTATTCTGATCATTAAACCCATTTTAGCCATGTATCCTCTTTTACCTTGTGTTATAGCTAATTGGCTCCCCCTCTCTACCCTTTTCACTACCATACCACCCTAGTTCAGCCTATAACTTTACCCTAATTATTTACTCGCTCCTAATCCTTTTCGCTACTGTAATTTACCATAGTGCCATGTGACTTTTGATCTCCTAAGCCTCACAAAGTAAGGATCAGAAGATAAAATAGGTGAAAACTGGAAAAAACAGCCTCATAAAATCCTCTATAGCAAGTACAAAGATAAATTGGTAGATAAGCAGTCAATGCATTAGCAGGCCTTGGATTTCTACAAAAGTGAGCAGGAAGAACAGGTATAGCTCAATCATAGAACACTGCCTTTACAAGTACAGGTTCAGTAAGTAATGGCATTTGCATGCTGGGGCCAAAGTCAGGGAGGAAAGGAACTAGCCACACTACTGTATCATCTTGTGGCATAGTATACATGTTGCTCAGTAGGTATTCACTTGGAGATATAACCAACTTGTGCAGTTATGAAAAATAACTTAAAATCTAACTGCAATTTCCAGGTTTCTTGTGTGTGTTGTCTGGTAACAGTACTGTAGCTTGAGAGACAAAACTAACACCAACTATAGGTTTAAAAGTGAAATAAAGAGTAATGTGAGTAGAGACCAAGGACAAAAAAAAAGATGAATAGCAGCAACACAAAAGGAAAGAACAATTTTAAAAAGTGAAAGGATGTGTGTAGGAAGATCAGGATTGTCTAACTAATTTATTTTATTTATTTCTTGCTAATTGATCAAGTTAGAAAGGCAAATTTAAAAAATGTCAGGCAATCCTTAATTTATGCTTTTTACTATCTACATATCTAATTTAGTCGTTGGTTCCAACAGTGCTAAGGAGATCATGTCTGTGAAAAAAAAGGAAAATACTGTGTGTTCAATCCTCTAAACACACACACAAAAAAATCCACACTACAAGAAAACAGCCATACTCATTCACTGATAGGATTTCTAATACTTACCAAGCCATGTTCTGGGCTTTATTTCCATTACAAGATTGACTTTTTGACCCAGTAAATGCTATAAAGTTATTTTTCCGGATACTAGTAAGTATGGTAATTTTTCGAGAACTACAAACTTTGGGAATAAAGCTGATATCATTAATATACTCTACAGGCCCTATTACCCAAACTTTTTCTATTAATATTTACATCACATACATCATATGCATTTGGAATACCTCCCAGTTGATAAAACATGTCTTGAACTTGTATGACAAAGGATGAAGTCAAATAAATTCTTTTAGTGATGTTTAATGCTTAATGGTTTAAAATAAACAAATGTGCTAGACACTGAAGGTAAAGTATTGTGGCAAAAAGGGTAAAAATCAGTTTATTATTAGAACAAAATGTATAAGATGGCAAAAGGTTATACATCATTAAAGGACAGTATGATCGTGAAAAGGGTAAAGATGGGGAGCAAATGGGGTTAAGATAGAGAGAGAGAGAGAGGGGGGGGGGGAGACTTGGTCAAATACAGGGTATCTATCTGATGGATATAAATTGTCAAAAAAGTGGAGGTTCCATGATATAAAAACAAGTTGGGGGATCAGGGAAGAGAAGATAAGTGAGGAAAAGCAGATATACTAGCTGCTGTAAAATGGATATGACAAAAGAATGTGGGGCTGAAAGAGGAACAACTATGAAGTAATCGATGGGTAATAATTAAGGGTAGAGACTGATGTTGGTGAAGTGGGACCCAGGGAGAGAGAATGAATCGGGAAGGATACTGTAGTAACAAAAGGGAGTCGTATGAACATCCAGGAAGGAGAATGGTTAATGGGGAAAGAAGGGGGGTGTTTTGGAGAAGGGGAGGATAAGCTTTGTTGGGAGAGAGTGGCAGGAAGAGGGGTTAGGGAAATATGAATATGAGGAGGAGTCACTTTGAATGTAGAGGTAATGGGGGAAGAGATTGAAGGGTGGATGGGGGAGAGGAGCATTCTCTTGGGTCATGTATAGGAACCTTTGGATGTCCTCAGGAATTTTTGGAAGGGAGTTGGGTAGAATGGTTTGTGAAATGAAGAAAAGAAGAAGAGATAGAGGATAGATGAGCTGAGGAAGAATTAGATGTTGGAGAGAAGATGGTAAAGGACTGACTGGTGTGACAGATAAAGTGAGGAGGGAGAGGGGAAGGCATCGGGGAAATGGTATAAATTAGAGTAGTTGGATTTAGATAGGAGAGAGAGGGAGAAGAGGTAGGATAGTAAGGGGAAGGGGAGAGATACTGGAGATGCTGAGACATCTTGGGAACAAGGGAGAGGAGTGGAGTGAAGGACAGCATTGGAATAATAATGCAGAATAAATAATGGGTCCCCATGAAGGATATGGGCTAAAAATTAACCAAAGGAATACCCTGCCTATGGCTCCCTCTGGCCATTCTTTTCAGCATATTAAGATTAATCAGGAAGAAGGGGGTAGAAAATGAAGAGTGGAGTGGATGATGTTGGGAGAGAGGAAGGAATGAATTCTGAAGATTGAGTAATGGCCTGGGCGGATAATTTAGAATGGCTTGAGCTGACTGCAAGCATTGAGGAGGGGGTATAAGAAGCAGTGATCTGTCTCAAAGGAGAGTTAGGGGTTGGGAAACCAGATAACTTAATTTGAGATAGGCTAAGTGATAAAGTAGCAAGCTTTAATGCCACTAATAAGAGTACAAAATCTTCATTACTGGCCATGGTGAGCCTGAAATATGTGGGGAAGAAACATAGCCAAAACCATCAGTGAATATAGTGTCCATGGATCCCAGGGGCTGTTCAGGCTGCCACAAAGCCAGCCATTCATCCTTAGGAAGTGGAAAGAAGAGATTGGAAAAGAGGGGGGGAAAGGAATGGTGGAGAAGAGAAAAGACCATGCAAAATTGGTTGAGCCAAGGGCTTAAATCCAACGCAGGGGTGATCCCTAACACTGGGCTTAAGCATTCTTCTTCTATGTCCCCCTATAACAGTATGTATGGGATTGGGGGGGTGGGAGTTTAAGTTTAACCCATTTCTGCCAGGTGAACCAAATAAATAAAAAACAAATAAATTTTAAAATTTGCTATTACTAATGTTTATAACATTCTAGTAATTATAATGTTTATAATGATAAAAAAAAAACACCATCAATATTCATGGCACTAGTAAAAAAATACATTTTCCCGCCAATTCAAGGAAAGATGAAATCAGGTAAGGCAGAGCCATCTATGTGTAGAGACATTTCACAGAAAATATAAAAAATGAGCACACCATTTTCCCCATTCTTTATTTATTTTCCCTGTTGCCAATGGGTTAAATATGAAAAATGCCCAAGTTCTATACTTTTCATGATTTTGCAGTGCCCATTTTTTTTTATGACATGAAATTCCTAAAGTTTTCAGTACAAAATTTGACTATTAAGGGCAAGAAATTTTACCAAAGAACTTTAAAGTACTAATGAACTTTGACTGAAAAGAATACTATACATAATGATAAAACTTTCATACCAGACTGTGAGAGCAATTTTTCATTACGTATCTGAAAATGCACTTTGGACTGACCATTGCTGCCTTGAAGGTTCCCATACATCTGGTTACTTTGTGACCTCCTTTAACCCCTTGGTGCCGGGTGACGCCGATCGGCGTGTACACAAAGAGCTCGAAAGCTGGTGTGCAGCCGAACGAGCCAGTGGCGTGCCAAAGCGTGGCGAGCCAGTGATTCGGGCTGATGTCCCCTACTCACGCGCTCAAAGTCAGCGCGCCGCCTTTGTTTGTTTAAGCGTAGAGTTTTTTTTTTCTTTTGTACACCCGGCGCCATTGGGTTAAATGCTAAAGGCACTTCAGATCTTTTCACTATGAATAAGTAAACATTTCCTATTTTTTATTATTAAATATACCTAATGCCTGCAGCTAAAGAGTTGCTCTGAGTATGTATTTCAATCTAAAGAAACTTACTCACATGTAGGTAGATCCCCACTTTGTCTTACAAACTCTATCTATGCAAGTCTATAATACATTATGATCACCAGAATGGAAAAAAAAAAAAAAAAAACTTTCTAACACACCAGCTATACCTTTCCTATTTAACCTGCATATATGAATTAACAATATTCTTTTGAAAACTGTATGTACACAAACTATATAATTTTTAAGGATAGATAAACAGAAATCCTGTGGGATCATTTTTATTTCACAAAAAATCTAACATGTACTGGAAAAGAAGTTGGTATCAATAAAAAAGAAGATAAATTAAAACTAAAAAAAAGAGAAAAAAAAAAGAAAAAGAAAAAGAAAAAAAAAAGAGAAAAAAAATATATATCTGTATATAAAGAAACTAAAATAAGAGAACTTTATCCTCTATTAACCATGACTGAATTAACTTTCATCAATAAGGAGTATAAATTGTTAACTTTTAAAAACATGTCTTTGTTAAATCTTCAAAACATTTCTACTTAATCTATTATATTAGAAAATGGTGATAATAGATTCAGCCATGGCTTTTTTTTTTAACTAGCTTAGATGGAAGTATAAAGCTCATGCTCAACTTCTTCAACTTCTCATAAGCACTTTTAGTATATGGTTCATATATATACCAACTTTGTCTAATGAAATGACTTTTTACAAACATCACTAAAAGAGAGCACTTTAGAATGAAAAGACTCCTTTCAAAATAAACCCCCTGCATCAACCTCCCCAGTAATGCCCTTACTACCTCCTCTGGAAGTAAATCTATCGCCTATCTTTCCTGTCACTTTTCCTCTCTTTATCCCTGCTCCTACTCCTGTCTCTTCTACGTTCCCTACTCCTGCTCCTCTCCCTTTTCCTCTCCTTGCTTTTGCTCCTAACATTCTTTTTGTCCTTCTCTCTCTCCCTCTCCCTCTCTTTTTCTCTTTCCCTTCGTCTAACAGCATCCCTATCCCTTTCCTTATCCCCTTCCTTAATTTTCAAGCCCTCCTTTTCCTTCCCCTTTGTGTCTTTATCTTTACTTTTTTCTTTTGCATCTCTCTTGCCCTTTTCCTCATCGCTTTGTGGCTCCTCCTTTATTTTTACATTCGCTCCCTTCCCATGCTCTGTGGAGTCCTTCTTCTTTGTTGTTTTCCTGCTCTTCTTCTCTCCCCCCTCTCCTTCACTGTCACTACTGCTTTCCCCACTTCTTGACTCCCGTCCTCTCCGCCTCACCTTTCTCTTCCTTCTCTCCTGGTCCGACTCAGAGTCACTGCCAGAGCTAGTGGTGCAGCTGGAGTCACTCTCCGAGTCAGATGAAGACCCAGAGGATGACCCAGAGCTGGATGACGAGCTCTCTGAATCTGAGCTACCACTATCACTACTATCGCTGCTACTAGTAGTGACACTGCTCTCTTCACTACTGCTATTGTCTGACGAGCCCGAGTCATCACCCTTCTTTTTCTTTTCTTCACCTGCTGCCTTCTTCTTCCTTTTCTCGAGCTTCTTCTGTGCTTTCTGTGCTTTTGCCTTTTCATCCCTGCTATGTCTGGACTTGGATGAAGATTTTTTACCTACCTCTGCTTCGCCTTCCTTGTCATTCTTATCCTGGGTGTTTTTGCTCTCTGTGGGAGGCGGATCTTTCCCACTTGTTGGACTGCGGGTCAATGCAGATGATTCATCATCTTTATTGTGGCTGCTGCTCTCCTCCATTCTCTCAGGTTCTTCTGTTTGGCTTTCCTTTTGCTCCTCCTCACTAGGTACAGGGCCTGCAGGAGGAGGGGAAGGTGGAGCAGTAGTGGTTGGAGGCTGTGGCAATGTGGATGCAGGAGGTAAGGGGGGCATTTCGGTGGGGACGGAAGCCTCATCCACATCAGTCTTGTCAGCTGTGCTTGTGGGTGCCTTGTCAGGTTTCTCCTCCTTGACTTTCTTGAGCGCAGCCTCAGAAGCCTTGGGCCCTGCTTCGTCATCGTCGTCTTTCTCTATTTTGACATGCACAACCGTGGCCTCCAGCTCCGTCTCCTTATTGTAGAGGGTCTGTACTTCTCTGTTCTTGCCTGTGTCCCTATTCTTTTCCCTCTCTGCTATATCTCTGCTCTTCTCCTTTGATTTGTCCCTCTCCCTCTCCTTATCCCTCCCTCCAATCCTGTCCTTCCCTCTATCTCTCTCCATCTCCCTATCTCTATCCTTTTCTCTAATTCTCTCTTTCTCTTTACCCCTTTCCTTGTTCTTCCTATCCCTCTCCCCTTCCCTATTCTTATCTTTCTCCCTATTGTGCCTATCCCTCTCTCTCTCCCTGCTCCCATCCCTTAGTTTACCTTCATTCTCCTTCTCACTATCATTGCCCTTACTCTCTCTCTCTAAGCCTGATGTGCCTTCCTCTGACTGGCTAGCTACAATTTCTACCTTTCGAGCACCTTCTCCCCTGCCGTCGACCTGGACTACCATACGCTCAGTGTCGTCATCATCCTTACCTGACAGGTCTGCCTCACCATATACTAGCTCTCCCTCCTCAGCCTCGTAATCTAACAAATCTGTCAAGGGAAACATGGGAATATAGTTAGTATACACAGGCTTTTAATATCAAAGACAATCAATAACCAACACTTAACCCATTGCATCTGGTTGCATCATAGCAATCGCATAAAAAATCCAGGCATTAGGCTTACATGAGCAGCTGCTTTGCTGGGTCGCTTCTTGTAGGCCAGGTGCACATGAACATGTGTGCACCCGGCCTTGTGACAAGACTTTGTGCCTCCTATTTGTTAAGTTATTTAATCCCTTACTGACGGGCCACACCTACTGGTGGCATAACAAACCGCTCGGTCTGCGTGGTACAGCTGTAAGCCGTGGCAACATGCCAGAGTGCTTGGAGCAGGACATTCGGCTTGATGTAGTGGGCTCTCCAGGGTATAGAATTTTTATTTATTTTCTTTACCCATCAGCACTGGGTTAAACTTTTTATGCATAAGCGTTCAACAACTCCACAACAATCCCAAAGATATCAGCAGCCTTTCCAGTCTTTAGCCTAGAAACCACCGTTCTCACCTCTTCGATGGAAGGTGGTGCCTCACTGATTGGTGGATCAGTCACTAATGGCTGTATGCCAGCCAACAGGAGTTGTGAAGACTGGGGATCTAATCTACCCTATACAGTTGCTCAAAGTACTCAGTCCTGCAGGCCCTTCATTCACCTGGCTCCAATACAATGTGACTATCCTCTGCCCTCACCGAGCCCAGTTGAGAAATGGACTTCGACCAGAGTTCCCTCAGGGCTCGGAAAGCAAATCAAAGGTCATTTTGGGCAAAATGACCTTCCAACTCTTCCATGATGCCCCTAATGTACCTTTCTTGGTCCATTCTCAGAGGCCCTAGCAGAGCGAGACAACTCCCTGTGCAAAACATGGTTCCCATCCAGTCTGGCAGCACGACTCATCTCTATAGTGTTCAGCATCTCATTTGAGACTCTTAAAAGCTCTTCAGTTCTGAATGATCCTCCAGTGAGTATCCACAAGCATAAGATCAATCTCTTTAGCTATAATGCCAGTAATGGAATACCAAGTCCAGGGGCATAAATCTTGTCTCTGGTACCACAACCCTGCAATCCTCAGCCTCCTAGATCTTGTGAAGTCTAAGAGGTATAAACTATTGAAGTTCCTAATACTAGAGCCAAAGGGACCGATGCATAGCTCATATCCTTCCCTGGAAGACCCCCAAGGGTGTCTCCCCAGGGACACTGATCCACTACAGAGTCAAGTTTGGTGTAGAGCATCTCTTTCTCTTCGAGCCCACTTCCCTCAGTAGGAGTGTAAACTGCCACTAGAGATATGAAGCCCAGACAGCTTCATTCTCACAAGCAGAATTCACTCATCAACAGGGGTAACCTTCTTGACTGAAGAATGGAAGGGGTCAGACACAGCCACTGCAACTCCCATAAGCACACGACAATGACACAGCCACACCAGTAGTAGGTAAAACCCCACTACTGGTCTCACCACTACCAGGCCTTCACACCTCAGAGAGCAGCGATGGTAATCCCCAGCCTCCACAGCCTCCCCAGCGCTCTTACAACAACAGGCAGTTAATCATCCTCCGAGAGACTGAGGATGTTCACAGCACATTTGACTCCATTTGTGGGTCTCCGGCTAGGTGACACCTTGCCACAACCAGGCAAGCCTCCCAAGGAGGAAGAGTGGGGATTGGGGGAGCCATCCCCCCACTACGTAGCCTCAGGGTTCAGGATTCCCTGGGAGGGCTTTGCCTTGCACCCGTCAACCCAGGCTCGACATCTTAATCGGATGAGACCCTGGTCAAGATGCCGAGCCAGGGACCAGGGACCCCGGGCTGCAAATTGGGGTTGGGGTCACCTTCAAAATCGCCAAATAAGTAAAATAAACCTCCCAATAGGTTGTGCACTCGTGGCAAGTCATTTCCATCACCCCAGCCTTCAGCTGCAATGCTCATGATGGCGGGTTTGCATCTCCCGACTTATGGCCAGATTTTCCCGTGAGGGAATGTTCACATCATCTGCCCCTCAACCAAGATTTTTTCATGCTATGATGGCCACATCACTCAGATCCAACAGGTTAATTGTATTATCAACAATATTTGTAAACATTAGATAATAATGCTTTGTACAGCAGACAGATCAAACTTACCAGGACAGTTATCAAGAGAGGTACTGACACCCCCCTCCCCCTGCCTGGCGACGGCTGAGCGGACCCCCCTGTGCACGTAGGTCTCCTCCTCCTCCTCCTCCCCCCCCTCTGCGCCATCCCTGCCCATCTCGCCCTGATCATCCTCCGCACGTGACCCTAGTATCTCCTCCAGCTCTTCCTTCATCCGGAGACGGTCCTCTTCGAGTTCCTCTGTAAAAGTTGGTAAAGTTTAAAATATAAAGAAAACATTCCCTGGGATGATAGAAAGTCTAAAAATTAATACAAAATTATTTTAAAAATCACTCAAAAAATGTTTTATAATTAATAATGCAATAAAGAGGGTTAAGGTCCATCATAAATACAAAAAGGTCTACCTCACTATTAGAGCAAATCTTTCAAAAGATGCCTCACATGTTCAGGCTTTAACTTTCAGCTAAAATTTGTAAGTGCCTTTTATATATATTATACATATTACAGGTGTCATTGTTTACCACTAAATTAGCAAGATAGCATACACAAAGAAATATAAAATTTCTCTTCATAACATCCTGCAGAAAAAAAACTGTACCTGAGAATTGATGACAAAGAATATTATAAAGATAGAGGAAATTATTAATTACCACATAATTGTTTTTCCAATTTCTTATTTAAATTGTAATCTGCAAAATAATACAATGATATAAGTACTTTTCATCAATCACCCTATCAGACACACAAAAAACATCAGTGATTGCTTGATCTGAAAGCCATGCAATCTACAGAAAAAGACCTGCACTTCTATACAAAAACCAACAAGAACATTCTTCAAATATTTCTCACTTGACCTGTAGTAACTATACTAATAGCTCATGTACATCTAATTAGTTTAGATTCTAGCATAAGAGTCAAACTTACTCATGATGTTATCGTGTGAGGCTCGCACGAGGCTAGTGGTCTTGGCATTGTGGGTTCGAGGGATCCAGAAGATGGAGGGCGTCGACTTGGTTCTTATGAATCTGGTTAATTTCATCTGGTGTGCCTCCCACTGCTCGTGCTGAAAGAGTTTTTAGTACTGCTCAATAACAGACACAGGAAAATCCTTTGACTCAAACTTTCAGTAAGCTACATCCTATCGGCTATGAAAACAATACAAAATTGAATACATTTCCCTGATATATAATCAATTTATTATCAATACCTATATATCGTGTCATTGGAATGGAAGTTCCATCTGTTCTCACATGCATTCACATTTGCTCCAGCATCAAAGGGAGACTCACCTCCTTCACACGGGCCATCTTGACAGTGAGACGCTTGATTTGTGCCTTCCTCTCCTGCCTCTGGTTGATCAGCTCTAGTCGTTCTCGGCGCAGCTCTTCCTTTTCCACACGACCCTTTTCTTCCAGCTTTCTCTCAATGGCAGCGCGCTGTTCTTCCTGTATGCAATATTAGGAATTAGCTTGTGTAACATTAATTTAACCTTTTTCCTTTCCACTTACATATTAAGGTATTAATTTATTTCATGAATTCAAGACTATCATAGGATTAGTTTTTTTGAAAGAAATGAGAATTCCAGTGAGGAAGAAAGAACAATCAGTTGTATCATTTGTAAGATTAACTCACCTTATCTTTCTGCTTTGCTTCATCATTCTTGAATCTCTTGAGAGTACCAAGTAGAGCACCAAACATGCGGCGGTTCCTAAGAAGTAGCAAATGTCATTTATACAATTATAATAAAATCAATAGTAAGTTACTTAGCTCTACCACTATCATGTAATTCATTATTCCATTTTATTTTTATTTTCAAAATAATGAGTATTACCTGTCCCGAGAAGCTCTATCCTTGGTAAGCTCTGCTGCAGCTTCTGTGCGGGACTTCATGTCTGCCTGAGGGCGAGCCACAGACGAAGGCAGAGATGGCTGTGGGAGGCAGGTATCAGTAACTACATCTTGTTTTATTGCATAATCAGTTAATAAAATCTCACATCTCAGTTCTCTCTCACAAACAAATCCACCGCTAGACATGACTAAAAAAGAAAAAAGAAATGGTGCATACCTTAGGCATCTTCTCATCCTCCTCAGCCACTTCCTGCACTCGTCTGCCTCGCATATCCCCATGGATTTCCGCACGCAAGTCTCCCCTCAAGTCTGGAGTGGGACGGTGCTCCCCGCGAAAATCTCGGGGCTTCCCTCTGTGGTCAACATGCTGCTGATCTTGCACCACTCCTCCCAGCCTGGAACAAAAGGAAATTGTGTCACAACTAGCCTGGAATGCAAACAATTCTTTTGTATTGCAGAATACTTTACAGCATCTTTTCTTAACCTTTTCTCTCTTACAGCATCTCTTCCCAACCTTTTCTCTCTTACAGCATCTTTTCTCAACCTTTTCTCTCTTACAGCATCCCTGAATTAACTTCAAAGAGTTGGGGAAGCCCTACATAAAAATGATTTCTCTCTTCAAACAAAATCTTTAAGTAACTAAATGTGGGTGATTGGGGGACTGCACCTGTATACCAAGAATCAGAGAAGCTGCTGGAAGGTGTACATGCATCCATACTTGAGTTTCTGACCTGTGGTTATGAAATATATCCAGTAAAACTCCTGTTCAGTGAAGGATGTTTCTTTGTAAAATATATCTTTACACCCAAGAATTTTTAGAGAATATGACCTTTGTGGAGTAAAACAAAAAAGTGATAAATCAATTACTCAGAATCTATATTTGTGCATGACTGGCCCATAACTTCTAGCACCCCTGGTATCTCTAGTGGCACCTCACTTAGAAAGACTGACCTAGGGAGAGGAAGAGGGAGACAGAACCAAATGACTATTTTTTAATTGAAGGATATAAAAGTCAAGTTTTCTTCTTACCTGGCAAAGACCCCCCCTGGGGGTCTTCGCTTGGCTGGGGGCTCTTCATCTCTCCCACCAGAGGATAGGCGTACTCTCCGCTGCTCTCCACGCTGGCTGTGAGGTTTAAAAAATCATAATGAAATAAATGTTTAACCTAAATAAATGCTATAAGATATTTGTATTCATTATCAACATTCAGTGTAATATATATTAATGTACATATGATTACAATCATACAATATAAATAGACTACTGTTGTGTAAAGCTCGGGTGTAACAAGAAAGTAATCAAACTTGCTTTGCTTGGATTCTGCAGAATTACTTTACCACTTTGTCATGTAACAGATGTGTATTTTTTCTTGTGTGTATATGTTTCAAGAATACCAAGATAGTCTGAAACAGGTCAACTCTATTCTGTCTTGATGAAAATCCTAGTTGGAAACTTCTGAGCTAATTTCTGCCTCTTTGTCTTCATTGCAAATATTAAAAATTTCTTGTCTTTCTTTTAGACTGGGTAAACTAAAGGGGCGGAGCTGATGATGTCAACACATTTAGCCAATGAGAGTGTGTTGTGAAATTTCGGATAGCCAGATAAATAATTATTTGTATAATTTACTTGATATTGTCCTAATTACCAGAGGTTAACAAAAATCCCCCTCTTTTATTTATGGTAACAGAGCTCCTTACCAGCCATCTGAACATTCTAGGGAAAAAGTCAATTTAATTTTTGGGTTCAACAAGTTAACCCCTTGGTGCCGGGTGATGCCGATCGGTGTGTACACAAAGAGCTCGAAAGCTGGAGTGCAGCCGAACGAGCCGGCGGCGCGCCAAAGCGCGGCGAGCCAGTGATTCGGGCTGATGTCCCCTACTCACGCGCTCAGAGTCGGCGCGCCGCCTTTGTTTGTTTAAGCGTAGAGTTTTTTTCTTCTATTGTACACCCGGCGCCATTGGGTTAAATGGAGCTACCTGGTCATATGAAAAACACTGAAGAGGGGAGGGAGCAGAAATTTCCTTGCAAAATCTGAGAGGTGTTCTCTCTATTGGCGGTCAACAAGTGTTAGGTCACTTCACTGTGGAAGAATCTCTTTTTGGCACGTGTTTTCCATTCTCTATGAGAATGGCTGTGGCACATATAAACTTTTGGTAAAAGACACTAGACACACTTTAACCATATGCCGCCAGGGAAAATGAATAAAAAATAGGGAAAATGCTGTGCTCATTTTCTATGTTTTTGTGAAATGTCTCTGCACATAGATGGCTCAGCTAGTGCTTAGCCCCAAAGGAGTCAGTTAGTACACATTGTGACCTTACCTAATTTCACCATTCCTTAAATTGGGGGGAAAAACATATTTTTTTACTGTTGCTATAAATATTGATGGTGTTATTTTCATTATAGAAATTATAATCATAAACATTAATAATGGCAAAATAAGATAACTTAACATATTTTCATAAATCAAGGAAAAGAGTAAACAGGTGAGACAGCCAGTACTCGTAATTGGCTCATTGGTGACTTCATACAAGTCTAGCCATGTTTGTGTAAAACCAATTAAATTAAACTGACAGTGGGCATGGCATGTACGTACATACCATGGTAATTAATATTGATAAGTTACATGTAACTATATTTATTCCATAATCAAATACCAACATAATAAACATTATATTAGTCTAATAATGGTATACACTAACATGTATATCATCCTGGTAAATGTTCAGAATACCTTCGCATTTTTGGTGACATTAACTGTCACATGCAGGGGGCTGTGACCCCCCAACCCCCACCCTGTGCAGGAAAGAATCCACCATGTACATATATCAGGATACAGCCTAGGTCAGATTCAGCATTGAGTGCTTCCAGAGGAGGATTGCAGGGAGCTGTGCCCCCTGCGCTAGACAATATAGTGATGTATCATGTATCTACTATATGTATTTTAACCTGTAATTCTGCCGATACTTTTCCTGCCCTCCCCCGCTATCAAAGTCATGACTGAAGGGGCTTGGAGAGATTCCACAGCAAAAGCCCACCACAAATGGGTAGTAGAGGCTTAAAGGAACCCATCAATACCACTATCGTCATGTTCTGTCATGCAAACGCATTCTAAACCATTACCACCACCGTCACACTGCCCTCCCTTGGCGCGTCCAAACTACAACGACTAGGCGGTTCTTGGCATGGCCCCCAGACCCTCATTCCCACAAACCCACCGCAATGCTGGCGGGAAGGAGTGCTCCCTCGGGAACTAAAGCTCTGCGTCAACCACAAGCACCGCCTCCAAGCAACACATCAAACTGCATGAGAAGTTGTTAATGCATGACATGTGAATCTTATCTGCAAATACCCTTAGGTTATAGGCGAAAAAATCTCTCGTCTGACCACCCAGGCTTCCCCCTGAGCATTCGCCAGAGTACGTAATTGTACGTATTTCCTGCAGACAAATCGACTGATCTCCCTGGACTTTTAAGCGGTCGTATTTCTTCGGCAAGACGCGCTCCCTGCATGATCGAGGCAGAGCATAACAGAGGCAGAGAGAGAGAGAGGAGAGGAGAGAAATAACGAAGAGACACAATCGCTTTTACGGCTTTTTTGGGGAATTTTAATACGTCCTGTTCCATCTAGCTAATCAACGCCTGTGAAACCTGGCAGATAGATACATCATTAAAGTTACGTCCATTTGGTCATAATAGTAAGCACTTAATTCCGTTCTTTTAAAATTATAGAAAATAACATTGAAAAAAAAAATCAATTAAAAACACGCTTGGCATGACGCCACTCCATCCCTCACTCCTTCCCCTCGCTTTTTGTGGCTCTTTTTCATTCTGACTTACTTCGGGTCATTAAAATCCCTGCCCGTTAGCTTCCTCAAGTTCTCATCGACGCCTTTTAAGTCCTGCTTCGCCCTCTCGATTTCCGTTTCTATGGCGTCGACGAGGGAGGTTCCCGTCACGCCCGGCGCCATCTTGCTCTCTGGTCCGTAGGTCCGGCTCGCGTAATGGAGTTTTGTTGGAGGTGTTCTTGTCTGTTTCAATTTTTGTTTGGTTGAGATATGTTGGAGTTTGATGGTTTGGGTATTTCATTGATGGTTGTTTTGTATTTGTGGGCTTTGCTTTTTGGTAATTTGAATTTTTTGAGAGGTTGTGTAGTGGACATCTATTGGCGCTTTTTTCTGCGTTTGGCATTTTTCAGTATTATATTCAGCGTTTTTATTTTGTTTGAGAGACTTGTTTCTCAGTGTTTTATTTATTAGGTTGGAATATATGATAACTTTAAAAGAAGAATTCCATACGTCATATCAAATTCGCATTCTGGAATATCATTTAGATATCTGTTTCCATTTGAATATCTGTTTATTTATCTATATCATTTTGTCAAGGAAGTTCTTTTCTTATATATATTGAAAATATTGCTTATGAAGAAAGTCATATGCTTTATATTCTACCCTTAATGGATTTCAGACGGATTGTGAATTTAAATGTCACGTTATGCAAGTTGGATTTAGGCTCGTAGGCCTGCATCACCACATGACAAAAAAGAAGTGTAAGATCCGTAATTATGAATATTTACGGTAATTTTTCAATAAACCTCTATGCAGTTTCCTTTATCGCCAAGTTCTCAATTTTCAAATAGAGAATACTGATAAGTTTTATCTCTCCGTTATTATCGTTGTTACTGTTATTATCATTATTTTTTAAATTGTTATCATTATAATTATCATTGTTATTATTATTAACATTATGATGGTGATGGTGATTATTATTATCATTAGTACGATTATGATTATCATTATTATTGTTATTATTATCATTATTATTATTATTATTATTATTATTATTATTATTATTATTATTATTATCACTGCTATTGTCATTATTATTATTATTATTATTATTATTATTATTATTATCACTGCTATTGTCATTATTATTATTATCAGTATTAATATTAACATTAGATTATTATTAGATTATTATCATTATCATCATTACTGATAACAAAAATAATAATTTTATTGTTATTATCAGTAATAGTAGTAGTAGTATCACTACTACTACTACTGTTATTATAATAATAATTATTATTGTTATTATTATTATCATCATTGTTGCTATTATCATTACCAGTATCACTATTGTTATTGTCATTGTTATGATTATATCATCATCATCATCATCACAATTATTGTTATCATCATCATTATCAGTATGATTATTATCATTATTTTCATAATCATTATTATATAATTATCATTGTTGTTATTTTCATTATCGTTACTGCTATAATCATCATCATCATAATAATAATAATAATAATTATTATTATTATTATTTTTACTATCATTATTTTTTATTATCACTATCAACCTTATTGCTATTATTATCACTGCTATTATTACTGAGCCGTATACATTGTGACAAATAGAAAAGGCATGAATGAATATCTTCACAATTAAAAATATATATTTCACCAGTTTAGAATATATCTTTGTCAGAAATACATGGAGCATAAATATTTCTGCCGAAAATATATTCTAAACTGATTAAATACGTCTCTTGTATTATAGATATTCATTCTCATCCATTTTCATTATTATCATTATTATTACTATTGGTATTATCATTATCGTTCTTGTTATTATTGTTGTTATCATTACTTTTCTTGTTATTATCATTATTGTTATTATTATTATTATTACTATTATTACTCTTACTACTATTATCATCATTTTATCACCATCCAATTCATTATCCTTAGGATCATTATTACTATTATTATCACCATCAATTTTATTACCATTCTGATCATTATTATCATAATTACAGTAATTATTAATATCCTCATTACTGTTATCGTCAATATTATTATCGTGATTATTTTTGTTATTATTATCATCCTCATTATTACTACCATCGTTATTACTAGTATTGGCATTGGCATTAGTATCATTATTATTATCATTATTAGTATTAGTAGTATCGTTTTTATTATCATAATAATCATTACTATCATTATTGCTATTATACCATTATTATTAGTACCATTATTACCATTATCATCATCATCATTACTTTTATTATTATTGTTATTATTACTATTATTTTTCTAGTACTGTTTTGTATTATCATTGTCATTGTTGTTATAATCATTATTGCAATTATGTTATCATCATCATCATTATTATTATCATTATTAGTGTTATCATTATGATTATTAGTTATTATTATTATCATCATTAGTGTTATTATTATTATCATTATTAGTGTTATTATTATTTTTATTATCATTATCAACAGTATCATTATTATCGTTATTGCTATAATTTAAGTGAAAGTGTAAATGTCAACTATAACGCATTACTCTTCACACGCAAATAAGACCCATAAAATCAACCAAACATCCAATTTAATAAAACACAAGACCCCGACATCAAAAATGAAAATGCTGGGAAAATGCCCCTTATATCCTTGCCACACCTATTATAAGCCCAATAAGGGAGATATATTCGTTATCCCTTTATCCATTCGATACAACGGCCATGGCACCGAACCCGCGCCCAGTTCCAGGATCAGGCAGGTCGTACGTCTTTCCAAAACTTATTGTTATGGAAGACACCCAGCCGGGGGGGAGAACGGTCGTCGATTCGGTCGTTTCATTCGTTGCAGTTGTCGTTGCGGTCGTTACAGGCGGCGACCATTTTCTGTTCTTGAAACGAGTTGACTTTCTGCGAGAGAGTTTGACTTTCATGCCGTAGTAGATGACGTCATCAAGTGACACGGTTGGTCCTCCTGTGCCCGAGCAGCTTTTGCCTGGTGATAAAGAGGGGGGGGGGGGGTCGTATCAATGACAATTTTTAAGGTGTGGTGTTAGAGTGTGGGTGGGGGGAAGGATGGGGAGGGGGAGCGGGGATAGGACAGATAGATAGATAGAGAGTGAGTGAGTGAGTGAGAGAGAAACAGTGACAGAGACAGAGAAAGGGAGAGAGATATAGAGAAAGGAAAGAGGGTGAGAGCGAGAGAAAGAGCGAAAGAGAGGGAGAGAGGGAGAGAGGGAGAGAGGGAGGGAGGGAGGGAGGGAGGGAGGGAGGGAGAGAGAGAGAGAGAGAGAGAGAGAGAGAGAGAGAGAGAGAGAGAGAGAGAGAGAGAGAGAGACAGAAATAGTGACAGAGACAGAGACAGACAAAGAGAGAAAGAGAGTGAGAGAGAGAGAGAGAGAGAGAGAGAGAGAGAGAGAGAGAGAGAGAGAGAGAGAGAGAGAGAGAGAGAAAGAGAGAGAGAGAGAGAGAGAGATCCAGAATACAAGAATACAAGGCAAATGCAAAACAATACAGCAAACGCATCTCTTAGACTCCGCCACCGCCACGAACCTCCGTCCTCATTCAGCTGACACAAAAGACGGACTTTGTGCTGAGGTCTCCTGAAGGTCACCCGCCTGTTTACGGCCATGAGGAAGGTTGCGCGTTTCATAGCCTTCGGTCCTGTAATATATATGGATTTGTTATTAGGGAAGGGAAGGGCAGGAGCGTAAAAAAACATCGATAGGACAGTTAGGTTTAAAGCAGTGATTCTTTAACATTGTTGGAAGCACAGAACCCCGCAGGCTTCATCCGTGCATTCGTCGAACAGTTCGGACGTGGTAAAATAAAATAGGATTTCCTCAAGTATGTATGGATTACGTATCAGTTGCACACAAAACCACGTGTCCAAATAATAAAACCGACAAAACATGAATTTCACACAAAAAGCAAAACGAATCCTACGAGCGAGGTGAACGGAAAGTGTTCGAGTCTGACTCACCGAACCCCGAGGAGTCGATCGAACTGAAGAGCCACTGGTTTAAAGAAAGGCGGGTGCGTGTATGCACTTGTACGTACAAACTATATCCGACACAGCTATATTCCTGCTATTAAAGCATCTGAATTGTTTGCATATGAGTAAATAATAACCAAACTAATTTAGTTATGATGATCAGCCTAATTCTAAGGGTTGATTTAAGACTACCAGCATATTCTCACTTACGATTATATTTTCACCTGGATGAATTAAGTATTTTCATTATCAACGTCTTGTATCATTATCAACTTTGTTATTATCATCATCATTAGCATTCCACTTATGTTTATCATCATCCATCATCACTTAGGCCAGGTAGTATAGAAATGAAGAATCGAGGTGAAGTTCCTTGCCCGGGGGAACAACGCGCCGGCCGGTGTCTCGAACCCTCTAACTCAGATTGTCTCTGAGTCCGACGCACTAACCACTCGGCCATCATCACTCCCCTATTCCTCCTGTTCTCATAATCTCTACCACTCTCCTCATTACCGATATCCCCATCGTCACTGCAGTCACCGTCTTCCAGCTTTCCTCCGTCACTGCCACGACCGAGACTCACCGTCCAGAGTAACGCTGACTCTACCGCTGACGAGGGACAGGCGTGGCTCAGGCAGCTTCCAAGCCACGATCTTCGCTTCACTCACGTAGCCCAGCACGGCCGCGGCAGCCAACACCGGCAGACAAAAGCGCATCTGCCGAGTGGTTTTGTTTGATTTGTGGAGGGTATATGTATCGGTAAACACACACACGCACACACACACACTCTCTCTCTCACACACACACACACACACACTCACACACACACACACACATATATATATATATATATATATATATATATATATATATATATATAAGTATGCATATATGCATATACATATATGCATATACAGACACACAAAAAATAAAAAAAGAGAATTATATATGTATTCATACACACACACACACACACAAACACATACACACACATATATATTTATATATACATATGTGATATACATAATATATGTACACACATATATACATATACACACATATATATATACGCATATATATTTGTATATTTATGAATATATGAAATATACATGTCATATATATATCTATATGTATTAAAATATATACATGATATATATATGTATATATGT